GGAGCGCTGCTCCTCCTCTGTCCGAGGCTGGTGTGGGGTGAAAATCCTCCACCTCAGACGTTCAGAGATGTAACTATCTGCGATACTGTGGTCACTTTCCATGCTGCATCAATTATGCTAATGCTAGCTGTCACGTTCTCTCGTCCTGGCCACACCTCCGCCCCCCACCCTCTCCTCCCCTCCCCTCAGAGTCTCCACTTTGTGCATTTTTCAAATTTGCGTTGAGGGCGGAGTTATCCTTTCACAGGGGGGTAAGTTACACTTTTAAAAAACTTACATGTGAAAACAACATAATAAAATTCTTCAAATTGGGTTTTTGTGCTTGGTGTTCCACCCCAGTGGTCCCCATCTGACCACCCTATTAAAAACTTTCTGGAGGCACCTCTGCTCTTGAAACCAGACTCAGATTCACAGCTTATTGTGGACATAGCCACCTAGATACAGGGGCATGCTTATTATGTTCCTAACTTTATATGATCCACTCTTGTGCTTAATTTTCCACTCTAGATTTGGCTGATCATACTGTTTTATTACCAGTAAGCCCTCCTATTGAACGAGAGTTTTGTTTTTCTGCCTCTGTTTTAAAGGACTGCATCATCTTACTGCCTCAGCTGAACAGCGGTCTGCTCTGTCGTGCAAATGCACGGCACGACTTGCTTCTCTTTACCTTTTAGTCACAGGCGTCTGTGGTGTATAGTGGCAGGGATTGATGAAGAGAACTTAGCATGGCTTCCTAGGAACTGAAACTGTGGTTAACCTATGAGACCCACTATGCCCTGCTTGTGAACCTGCTTGGAGGAAAGTGGAAAGTTGGTGGGGCGGGGTTTTCTGCCATTTATTTGACCTCTTCCCCTAAAAAAAGTGCAGTTATTTATACCATGTTTTACCTGAGCATACAATAAAGATGCTGTTTTGGTAGGAATATTTTTAAAAGCCACATAGTTATTTTAAAGTTTAAATTTGTAAACAATGTCGCAAGAAAACATCAAAATCAACATCGCCCTAAACATAAAAATCAAAACTTTCTCTCTTATAAACATGTCTTACCTGTTGTCCCACAAACACCTTCACAGAACCAGCTGCTTCCAACGTTCACCTTCCCTCCTGCATGTGACCTTCTTTCTCTCCTCTTTCAGTTTGCTCTACAATCTTTCTTCTTCTTTTTGCTGCCTTTGTGTTCCTCCGTCCATTGAGTTCCTTCAAAGCCAGACCAGCTGGCTTTGGATGTGTCCCCCTCGAGCCCTGCAAGGCCCGTCTTTACACCCTGTTCCTGCTCGCGTCCTCTTGGCTTTTCTCTATGGGCAGGGAGCAAAAGGGGGGAGCAGTTTGAAGAGAGGGACCCGTGATGGACACAGACATGTCGGGCATGCGTTATGTGATGGGGCTTGGCTCGGGGCTCTTCGGATCAGACGCAGCTGTCAGTCATCGCTGCAGAAGGTGTTAGGGATTCTTCGCTCAGATCAGTTTTCAGCAGCACATGGACAGCTTTTAGAGAAAAGTTTCGAAGTTCATCTCTGAGGCTTTAATAAAGACTGCTTTATAAAATTAAGTAGTTTTTTTTATATTTACCAAGTTTTTGTCTGAGCTATGTTAATCCATTTAAATTAAGATAATCTGCAGTGTATGACACAGTAAGGCATGTAGCATATTTCAACCAGCTGCAGGGATGTGCCAAAAAATGGTTTGTTCCAGTCTGGCTTTAATGCCGAGCCGACAGCTGGCATTTCCAACGTTGCACCAGACCGCAAATAGACCCAGACGCTCTTTCTTTCCAATTAAAAAGTGCATGCAGCTAGTTTTATTTTAGAATATACAAGTCAGGTTTGATCTGTGATTTCATAGTAGAAGAGGGGGTGAAATTATGTTTATTAGTAATTGAGCAAACACAAACATGTTTTTAGTAGTTAGGTGAATTTCTCAATATACAGTTTGCTATGAATTCAATATCCAAGGCTCATTATAAGATTGTAACTGAAAACCTCTCCACACCCCTCAGCAGACCCCCACCGCTAACTGCAATCTGCTACACGCCACACATTCAGTCATTTAATAAACACTGACAACAAACACATTTGCATCTCCTGACTTTTTAGACAACTCAGACATCTAACACGAAAAGTTAGACAAAGAATGCCAAAGTGTTATAGATCCAGAAATGTTTTAAAACTTAGCATTGACTGATTTATTTGTAGTAGGTTAATTATTTATTATGTTAACCTATTGTTTAATGGGTTTAGTTATAATGAGGCAATAGATTGGAGTACCCCCTCTGGGTTAGGACTTGGGGGTGGGGTCTTTGCCCCAGGTAGAGTAGTTGAAGTATCTGTATGTCTTGTCTTGAGTGATGGGATTGGGATCTCGTCCTCAGTAATGAAGGCAGTCATGGTGAAGAAAGAGCTGAGTCGAAAGTCAACGCTCTTAATTTACTGGTCTGTCCATGTTCCAACCTTCATCTATGGGGTGGATGATGATCGAAAGAGCAAGATCCTGGATACAAGTAGGCGAAATCGTAGGGTGGCCAGACTTGGTACAGATAGGGTGAGGAGCTTCGTCGTTTGGCAGGAACTTGGAGTAGAGCCGCTGCTTCTCTGCGTGGAAAAGGGTCAGTTGAGATGGTTGGGGCATCTGATTAGGACGCCTCCTGGGCACCCCCTCTTTAGAAATGTGCAGGCACGTGTCACTGGTAGGAGACCCTGGGGAGTATCCAGGACTCACTGGAAGGATTTTGCATCCTCTCTGTTTAAAAAAACTTTTGGTGATTTTAGGTGTTGCAGTGGTACTCTCAAGATGTCTGCTTCTGGCAAATGAAAAACTGGTAGGTTTTGAGGGATGCATCCAAGAGCTGGTTGATTTTGTCAAAATTCAACAGAAAAAGAGGTTGAAGGCTTTCAATTAATGGCTTCAAAGCAAAAAGCACAAAGTGAGCTTGTTACCTCTGCAACCTGACTAATAAGTGGCACAAGATGAATATGAAGGTGATAGAACTTTGTATTAGAATCAGAATTAACCTCAGCAGTGATTACAAAATATGGCCCAAGAACTGTAGAAGCAGCATTTGGACCTTCTTAATCAGAGTCCTCAAATAAAATAATAACAATAAAAATAATAAAACGTTTGTTTTATGAATGAATCTTGAGGCGAATGAAAACACAGAGTAAATTAATTTAATTCCAAATGTGGCTTCCATCTTTCTCTCTTAGGTTGATGGCTAGTGGTTAGACTGGTAGAACTGGTTGTCCAGCATGGCAGGACATTTGACATGTGTTTTGACCAAGCCTGTGAATTCTACAAACTTAACTGAAAAAAAGAAGGTAGAAAGGGCATTGAAAATGTCTTCCAACATTTCTTCCCTAATCAAACTTTGCTCATTTTTTTTCACTCACAGTCAAATGTCAATGAATTAACAATATAATTATTTATAAAGTTTGATACGAGCAAAATAAAATAAAACACGTGTGTGACTATAGACAAGGATACTGTTCTGTGCCTGTAATTTCTTTTTTATTATTTCTTTAACTAAGAAGGGGGAGGGGAAAGCCCAACCCTGGGTTAGATAATCAAGATCGAAATCTAAAAATACCCCTTCGAGTCATAGCCTGAAAGTCTTCTCTCATCACCCGCTGTAATTAAAGTAACCAAGGCCTCCAGACTCCAAATAGCACACAAGTGTTAATGTGAAGGAGTGACGCTCAAAATGCTCTAGGTTTCCTGGGGAAAAGGGAGCAGATAAGTATTCCCCAGTGAATATGGGTCAACAGAAAAGTAGCCGGTCAACATCAGTAAAAATTTCAATCAAACAGGCTTAGGGTATGTGTGCTATTGGTTTAATTCTATAGCTACAACATGTAATTGCTTGAGTTTTGTGATCATCTTCTCTTGTTGGATCACTCTCCTGTAAAACCTTTGACACAGCAGTAGGTTTTGTTGAGTTTTTGCTCCTCCCGAGGCAGAGAACGACGACATCGCAGAGTCCTTATGACGAGCTGATGATGATCCCTCTTGAGATTACCCGTCTCCTGGGTTTCTTAATGTATTCCTCTCTGTTTATCACACTACTCCAAGCTTATCAACTACGAGGGGAAGTCACTTTAACATTCATCCTGTTATGTTTGCTCTTCTACCCCACCACCACCACCCACCCTCCCTCCCTCCCTCCAGCAGATGTCAGATGTATCGAGATTCGGATAATGGCAAAAGTTCTTTAATTATCTCCAGTGTTCACATGAATCTATATAGTTCCATTTATAAAGTGGCGTTCCCATCAAAGTGAGCTTATTAAAAATTAAGCATTATCAGGAATTAAACTGCTCTTACCATTTTCCATTTTCTACCTAATTTCAACTGTGGTTTAATTAATCACCTGTAATGACTTTAATTATGTACTGTGTCATAAGTTGCCTGGTGAGATTAGCAAGTTTTAAACTTACAAATATATCCATCCTGTCAAAAATTTTGACATTTTAGTTGATCTTTACCAGAGCACAAAAAAATTAATTAATTAATTAATTAATTAAAATTCCAGATTCAGAACCATTTGTCTGGTTTTCAGTGGGATTCTGTCTGATTAGTGAGACTACACCATTGTTTTGTGTCCTAGGCATTTCACTGTTGGCTAATTTCACAGATCCCCTGACATGTTGATTGCATCATATGCAAAAATGTGTCTGAATGTGTCGGTGTACGTGTGAGTTTCTGGCATTGCCGATGTCAGTGAGCAGGTGCCATCACTTCTCATTCCCACCATTCACAGTGAAGACATGTTGAGGACAGCCTGCATCAAGAAAGTCTGTGAAAAGACACGTGTGGGAGAAACCACTCTGATTTTTTTTCCTTTTTGCCTTTCAACCAATTCCTTTTGCATGCGGTTACACTGACATACTAAATCACGTCAATTCAATTTGTCAGGTTCAGTTTGTTTGGCAAAGCAAAATATATTTAAGTCTGCAGTAAGTTTTTTTTTTACATTTTTCAAAAAAATGTATCCACTAAGTTACAACCATGACCCTACTTATAATTATTGTTAACTTTTGCCTTATTTTAGATTAAAAATAACTAAGAGCACTTACTTGTATTTTATTCATCATAAATTTGTAACAGAAAAATAAAGTTTTGTGATGATTTGCAAGCTTGCAAACCCACATTTATATATATTTTTTCTTTTTTGGGGTTAAATTTTACCTCAAGCTTATTTGGGAGCAGTTTGAGTGTTTGTACTCTTAAAAGCCACAGAAGAGAATATTATATTGCTCAAATCCATTTTCCCTGCAGTTTTGCATGTTAAGGTTTTAATTAAAGATCTTGAATGATCAATTAACTCTCAACTCATATGCTGGGGATAGATATCAGCTACTATCACATCAAAATTTAGCTCATTATCTATAAAACTGGCAAAGTTATAGACATTTCTGTGTGTGTGAGTTTGACTGTGGCAGCCATCTTGAATCAGGTTGATCCCAAATGTTAATCAGTTGTAGTTGTAACACAAATGAGTATTTTCTTAGAGCTTCAATAAAATCCAGTCAGTGTTTCATGAGATATTTTGCTAATATAAAGTCAGAGTTTACCCCACCAGTTAAAAATAAATAAAGTTTCTATGCAAGCTTTTAGTCTTCAGAAAATATGATGAGGATGACTCTCAGCTGTGACCACACCAGATTTTAGCTCAACATCTGTAAAACTGACAGAGTTGTAGACATGTTTGTGTTGGCAAAGGTTAATTAGCTGCGGCAGCCATCTTGAATTGTGTTGACTCAAAAATGTAAACAATTGTAGATGTTGCTTCAATGATTACTCCCTGAGAGTTTCATTCAAATTACTGTAATGGTAGAGAGATATTTTGCTAACAGACAGACAGAAAAGCACACAGAAGCGATTACATTATTGCACACCGTTTATAGCAGCATGAGTTAAAAATATTGCACAGTGGCGTGCTTTTGACTGGGTACAGAGGACGCATCAAGTCATTTGTAGACATTTTTAAGTAGATTTTGAAACTGTACTCAGTACTTTTGTAGAGTTGAAAGATCTTGACACCACATCAGTGGCAGAAAGCAGGTGCAGGAGCAAATTAAAAATGTTACAAGAAACTTACAAGTTTTGATGTTGCCAAAGGTTCTACGACTGGAGTTTTTTTGTTGCCTTGTTTAAAAGCTTTTTATATTGTAATTGTTATTTTTTATTATTGTTTGTGGTTATTACTTTTGCAGATTTAGTTCAAATGCACCGCACCCTGTGAAAAGAAAGTGCAGTTATGTAAACCCTCATTATGCTCTTTGAGTTGATTTGTAAAAAACAACTCCAAACAGTAGTTGTAGTTACGGTGCTCGGTTCTGAGTGAGTATTATGACTCACCCTGGGCACAGAATAGCTATCCACCTCTAATCCTTAAGATGTAATTTGGTATTCATGTTGTACAAATGTACAAGAAAACAGAGAGAAAAAAAATCCCCAAATCTTTTGGCATGTGCAGTCGAGAAAGTCACACAAGCATGTCATCCGCCATGAAAAGGCAGTAAGACGGTGGAGTAAAGCGAGGCTTTGTCTCCAGGATTCCAGTGAAAGACGTCGCCATCATTTGCTTTCTTTGTTGCACACTTTGTCTCCCCAGATTCTTGCCGGTTCCACAAAGGTAAATAGAGGCTTGACTCGTCGGGACACATGCAGCTTCGCCGACAACAGGTAATAAATTTGCGCGTCAGGCCTGCTTGTCACAGATTAAACATGCTTTGTTTGGGGTGATTTATGAGCGCGGCGGCGTGCCGGGTGCACTCGGCGGCAAGGAGCTGAGGGTTTGATGGTGTGGAGGGGGGTAGCAGGTGAGTCAGTGAGTCGGTGAGTGTCAGATTTGTCTTACAGAAAGACTGATCTGCAGCTCCTGTAAGGGTGCCCACTGCAACACACACCTCTGCCATTAATCACACACAGCCTCAGAGCACAGAGTGCTTTGTCTTTTCCCTCCTCTCATACTGATGCTGCAAGCTGTCACCATCCGGAGAAAAGCTTACTTCAGAATAACTATAACAAAGTATGAAAAACTGCCTGTGTTCTCTAAAACTGCACGTCCCCACAGAGGCGTGTGGAGCTGCAACACTAAAACAAGACCTCTTTTTCATTATGTTTACAGTTTTACAGATGTTAAAGCCAATGCCTGCGAACGGAGAAGACCCCCAGCTGCAGTTCTCTTGTACGCCTCCTCCTGCAGAGAAGGTTACCTGGATATACAGGATTAAGATCATTCACTGTCCCTACGAGGAAACCGCTGATTCAGCAGGTAGCTAAAAGCATGTTGACTTATAATCCAAATGCAGCTGACTGTCCCACTTTCTACTGATTGCACACACTTACCTTTTTGCAATGGAGTTGGAGGAAATTAATCACAGCAGGGGAAGGATGGAATCTTCCTTGAGGATAATGGAGCTGATTTTTGACTTGAACTTGCATTGCAGCAAAGCATTACTGATGTCACTGCCCTAACTCCTGACACACTCTTATGGTAAAACTCATGTTTGTTTTTTATGTATATTGTGTTTGAGGGGAAAGTCCATCAGAACTTGACTGAAAAAATACTCTTCCTGTAAATAATTACCAGAAAGTGACCATAAGGTATGTTTCATATAGAAAATAAACCATACCGTGAAGCCAGTGGTGGAGCTAGGAGTTTTCTGAGTAAGGGGCCATCAAGGGGCCCACAATATTCATAGAGGGGCCAAATATTTGTTCAACATCCTTGCACACAAATCCACAGTTTTGGCAACGAGTCACACATGTTCAAACACTTGTAATGTTATTTTTAAGAGTTTGCACAGTAAATTTTCCTTAATAATTTGACATACGTTTTTACAATACATAGATAACATACTCTAAATAAATCCTGATTCTTAAAAAAAGAGGAGAAGACATCTGTCAGCTTCATTCATGCTGGACTTTCCCATTAGACTCATTAGCGCCACTGGTGTTTGAACATGGAACTGCATCCACCATCATCGCTCTCAGGCAAATAACAGATGAGTGACAAGACGGTGGCACTTCAGGGGGCCAATCAGATTTCAACTGGGGCCAAAGCCCCTGAGTGAAGTTCATTACATTCTTAGAGTACCTGTGAATCGTGAAAAACAGCAAATACTGGATGTGGTCGAGAAAAGGCCTACAGCATCATCAGCATCCTTAACGCAGTAAGAATCAAAAACACACGAGAGCTAAAGAAGTAGCAGCTATACATCACACAGTACTGTTTGAAGGTGTAGATCTACTGGAGCGAGGGCACAGAACATGGGTCACGTACTGTACTGTGTCATGGGTTTTAATGTTTTTATGTTAATACTTATGGTACAAAATTAATAAATAATATTGTTCTTCAGAATTTAGCTTGAAAGCTCATGGAACAGCAAAAAAGATAGAAAAAAAATTGTCCTCCTGTTTCTGTGAAGTTACAGGGATTACCACAAACTACGGTACTAATAGTTCAATTTCATTATAAAATCCACAAACTATGAAACACAATTTTATATGACAAAAAGAAAAGAGAACAAAAATCTAAGATATTTTCATGATAAAAAATTTATCAAAGCAATTTTTTGCAAAATGAATTTACTTCAAGTCTATGACTGGAAATGTGAGTGAAATTTTCATTTGGGTTTTGTGGCTTGCTTATGAATAATAAATATCTTGCTTGTTGTAGATATTGCCTGAATGACCTCAGTTTGAAGAAACAGAGTTTAATTTGGATGGGATTGAAGAGCTAATGGCTAGTCTCAGTAGGGACTAAAGATTAAAGTGAGTTGCTTTCATCCTAAAACAACTCTAGTTTCAGAAATCTAACATGGTTTTACGCTAACAATATTTTATAACATTACACTGTTGTTACTTTCTCATAATCTGGTTATTTCAGCATTAATTTGATCAAAGTAAATGTCACTTTGTTCTAAAGTGTTCAAACAGCTGTGTACAACAAGTAAGATGTTAACTGTCTAAAGTTTAAAAAAATTGCAGTTTATAAGATATGAACTATGGTTTTTACAGAAAAAGATTAGTTTTGCTTTTGCCTCACTTTGACATTAAAAATGTGGAGGCTGTTGCTTTTACCATGCATTTAATTATGATTTTTCTACTCCAAACCAAGAATAAAATATGTCAAAATTAGTATTTTCTCTGGATTGACATGTGGCCTAAAATTTGCAATCAACCCTATGCATCTCATAAACAGTTCATTTCTGACTGTGACCCTATAGGTGGCCAGGAAGGGTAATAACGATCTGTCAAAACAGAGCTCGGGTCCACAGAGCTCGCTTTCAGTGTCTGAAGGCGAGCACGTGAAGTACATAATTGCACGCACTGTTTAACATTTTATTACAGTCGGTACAACATTGCGGTTTGTTTATCGTAACATGGCAGGTAAACAGAGTTAATGTGCCCAGGCAAATATTTGCCGTGCTATATCAAATTCGGCTCCCAAATTAAGACTATCAGAGGGGCCAAACAGGGTCGTGTGTGAAATAACAGAGTTGTTAGGCCGTCCGCTGCTCCACACACAGATTGGCCTATCCCACGAGCGGTTCAAGTGTTTGCACACAGAGCTTTACCGCCTGCAGGCTTATGTATCATACTGTGCCTTATTAAGAGCTTTTATAAAATCTGGCTTTCGCGTGCCCCTTGCGCTCCCCCCCACCCCCACCCCCACCACTTCTTGTAGTTTCAGCTCTGAGGGCAGCAGTCTTTGGGACCTCAGTTTGCACACAACCCTAACCAAAGAGCGAACATATGAAGGCAAAGTACATGTGTCTTAATGACCCACAAAAAAACAAAACAAAACAAAAAAAGAATGAAAGTTTCCTGTTTTGAATGAACTCTCAGCTACATTAGTTTAAAGCCTTATTTGTTTTTCTTTTTGGAGCTCAATCCTATTAAACTTTATGGGATGTCACGGGCCTATTTTTCCACTGAACTGCATATTCGTATCATCGCCACAATATTTTAACATTGTTCGGATAAAAATTCCGAGAGCGACCCATATTGAAAACATTTTTGCCTCTTTAGAAAAAGGCATACAGCACTCTGAAACCACAAAAAAAGGAACCCAGCGACGACTTCGAGGTCCAAGACGAGCTGTCAGACAGTTGAGCTATTTTCTTTAATGAGCAGTGGCCACTGACCCGTAACTGAATTATCTCCAGCTGCATGCTGACCGACCGCCGTGACTTCACTGTAAAAATGGCTGAAAGTCATGATGTATTCTGGGTGTAACCGGACTGCGTCCCGTTCTTACACTTACCAAAATAGAGGGCTCCATTTTATTATGGCATGCTGGGAATTCCCCACAAATTTCTGTGTGCTCTTGACCTCCCGACCCTCCTTTGTATGCGCAAAAAGGAGCAGGTCTTAGCCCGGAGTGGGTCAGCGCAGCTCTGCCAGGCTGACGGATCGGCTCACGGTGCCCTCTGCTGCTCCGTCTGCACTGCGGCTCCATTGTTCTGCCCTCTCAGGTGGAGCCCCTCGGCAGCTCCTCACCATTGTGTCAAAAAGACCCGCAACCTGATACAATGGCAGTTTAGGCGCCTGCTTCTGTGCCTTTGGGATACCGGTGCCACGAGTACTGCGTGTACTTGCCTGCATGCGTTTCCATGTGAACAGTGTACACAAAGACAAAGAAGATGTTGTTGTTGTTCAATAGTTATTTTGATCCAACCTTGCCAATGATGTAATGTGCAGTCTCATGCACTGCAAACTCTCAGGATGCTTGGAGTACATGTTGAGGATAACTCTCTGCGACTATCACACCAAATTTAGCTCAATGTCAAAATCTGTAAAACTGTTCGTTTTTATGTTGGCCAAGTTTGATCAGCTGTAGCGGCCATCTTGAGTGGGTTAACTTCAAAGTTAGTTATAGTTGTATGTTGTAAGACCACTTGTTCATAAAATATTTAGCCAGCAGAAAGACAACGCTGACACCATTCGTCGACATCGTTTTAAACAAAAGTGTAAAGCTTAGAACATTAGTGATGATGCTCAGCTACAAACACCAAATTTTAGCTTAATATGTGTTAAGGCCCTGTCACACTAGACAACTTATGCCAACTTATGAAGCATTTTTTATGTCTAAGTTACTAATAAAAGTTATATATTTGATCAATTTGTTCAAATTACATTATGTAAACGCCGAAAAGTAGCTTCCTGTAGATTTTTTTTCTATTCCATCTTCAATGCAGATGTCTTTAAAATGTTCATAATTTGGCATAAGTTGCCTATTGTGACAGAGCCTTAAAATTGACCAACTTATAGCAGTTTTTGTGTTTTCTAAAGTCACTTGGTTGTGATGGAATCCAAAAGTTAATCAATTGTAGGTGATAATCCATTAGTTATTTTCTGAGATTTTCACCAATATCAGTCCAGTGGTTCATGAGATAATTTGCTAGAAGACAAAAGTTGACTCCAAAATAAAATATAAAGGCAAAGTTTTAAAAACAGGTCTATGAAGGCCAGACAACTCTCAGCTACCAACACACCGAACGTTAGCTTATTATCTGTCAAATTTGTTGAGTTAAAGCCATTTTAAAGTTTGCTAAGGTCGTTTCATTGTGGTGGCCATCTTGAACTGGGATAAACAGCCGGAGCAGCCAAAGATTACTGTCTGAGAGTTTTATAAAAATCCATCCACTGGTTCAAGTGACACTTTGCTGGCACTACAAACAAACACGCACACAGGCACGTACACGCGCAAAAACATGATCACCTTTTGCCTTTGGCGGTGGGCGATAATTAGAAGCGTGCTTCGCAACTCATGTGTTCACCTCACAAGAAAAAAACATGCTGCAGGAACTGTAGGCACAGTAACAAACTTGGAAGTACACTGTATACGGGTGCACGACGCAGCAAACGACACAACCAGTGTCACATCTTCATTTCAAGAGGAAGACTGACATCCACGTAGAAATGGAAAAAACTGAGTCTGAAGAAGCCTATAGACACAACACAACAGCCTATCCACATCAAAGCAAGCCCCGACCAAGCTGAGCATGCCGTTGTGTGTCACTGAGGAATAGTCCTCTTTTTATGTAACACACAGATGATTAAAGAGTTCAACACAGCAAGCAGACTAATGACTCCACTGGGTTGCAGGGGAACTCAGGAGAGAAGAAGCCAGGGCCTCTGGAGGATACTTGCAGAAATGGGGATAGGTTCTAAAATATACAAATTTATTCATCAGAAAGCAGTCTTTTTATGTCATGGAAGTATGCGCGCATGTGAGTGCGTGCAGGTGGTAGAGCGTGAGCAAAG